TGCTACTCTGGACAGGAGATCTGCCACTTTCCATTATGATGCAATTATTTTTTTTTTCCCCACCATCAATGACCACTGTAATATCTTTTGCAATAGCAATTACTTGGCTCTCCTGGGATAGCTACTTGGGGTACTCCGGGAATTTTAATCAAGCACCTATGTTAATTAGAAAACGGTGGGCATAAGGGAGGTGCTGATTAAGCACCTTTGAATATCTATTACGGCAATCCACTGAGTTTGAGCTTTCGTAAGGTTTCAGCCTTTTTAGAGAAAATAATTATAATTCCCTCCCCTTTTGTTCTTGTCTCATGGTGGGAGTGAGGATGAAGGGGTTGACAACTAACGTTCTTGGAAACCTACTATGTGTCTTATGGGGACAAGGGTTTTGCGTGGGTGAGCACATTTAAATCTCACCACATCCGTGATGGGAAAGCATTATTATCTCTGTCTTACAGATGAAGAGTCTAAGGCTTGGTCCTGGGGGCACATGAGAGAGAAGAGCCTTTTCTTATAAATTCTTTTGATTGATTTGGGAAATATGAGATGAACAACAGTTGAGAATGATGGGAAGAGATGAAGCTGCTATATTTTACCCTTTACTCACTAAAATTGATTTTGTTTTAAATGATACATTAGAAGGACTTAATTTTAAAAGAAAAGAAAAATACTGTATCTACACGATTGGATAATTTTGCAATCAACAATCACCTTCAGATGCCTGCAGACATCTGTACTGGTGCTGTGGCAGACACTGTGGATACAATAGAACCATATAAAAGCTGTTCCTGACTTTCCTAGCCCCTTGGACAATGGGGGGACTTCACAAGCCTGTAGGGGTAAGAATTACCATCCTTGGAAAGGTTTACAAAGTGCTTTCGGATCTCAAAGAAAGGACCAGCCCCTTTATCCAAAGAAGTTCATCAGAACCTTTCTATGGGTAGCATTTGAGCGTAGCTTTAAAGCAAGAGCAGAACACCACCCACCACCCACCACCCAAAATATGCAGGGCAATGCTCTAGGGAAGAAGAGACAGTGAGTACAGAGGTGAGGACACCAAGTATGTTGTGAAAGTCAATTTTATAGTATGACTTCATTATGGGGGGCAATCCGAGTCTGGGCCCAGATCACAGAATCTTTTAGAGGCCATGCCAGACAGCAGAAACAAAATTAATAAAGAAGCACATCCCAGAGAGGTTTAGCACTCAGTGCTATCAGTCAGTGGGTAGGGGAAAGAATTTAAGTCCAGTTGGAACTGCTTTCAAAGACCATCTCTTTCAGATCCATTTCCATCTTCTATCAAGCTGCCGCCACTTATGGAAATGGAGTCATTATGAGGAGTTAGAGCCTCAGAGAAAGACCAGACACTCCATACAGCTCAGAACTGCCCAGTCTGAAGCCTGAAACAGAAGAACAAGAAGCTTACCTTCAGGAAACAGGTTCCAGGAGCAGACACACTGGCAATTTCCCAGGGTCACCCCTGAGACGAAGTAATAAAGGGAAGTCTCCTGTTCTTAACTGCCTTTCCTGGCTTCTAACGCTACAGAGGAAGACAGGCAGGGGCAGGCAGCCCAGCCACTCCTCCAAAATTAGGAAAAAGACACAGAGTCCAAGCGTTCCCTTCTCCCTCTGGTCCCTGTTTCCTCGGAACCTGTGTTATGTCTGGTTTTATAGCACAGAAGCCAGGTGGCCATGACTAGATAGTTAATTTAGTCATTGAGTTTCCCCTTGGTGGAAAAGATTTATAGCCTCTGTTGATTAATTACAGGGAAACCCAACCAAAATGAGATTCTAAGAGTTGACCAGTGTTGGCATACATAGAGAGCTTTTATAAATATATTTTTCTTTCCTTTTTTCTGGGGTCCTCTCCTGCTGGGTAGTTGCCATCTGTAGATGAGGTGATGCCTTTAGTCCCATTTTGTCCTCTCCCTGCCCATCCCCACCTCCTCTTTGCTGGAGAAGATTTTCTCATCTGCCATCCTAATGATCTTGGTGCCACATGGGGACCCCAATGCTGGTGCTGACAGGCTGCTCATTAGTGCCAGGGTGCTGCAGTCAGCGGACGGCGTGCCAGGGCTCTGCTGCTGACACCTTCTCACAGAGCTGTCACCGGAGTCATGGCGCCTGCCAGCTCTGGTTGAACTCAAGCTGTGATACCTCCAGTGCCAATTAGTGCTTCAGTGTCCTGCCTGGCTGGGGAGGAAGGTCTGTCAGTGCTGACAAATGGGAAAATAGGTGGGCATGTGGCATTGGGAGGGCAGCAGAGGAGGGGAGAGCCCAGGGCTTTGCAGGAGAAGAGCTTCCACCCAAGGGTCACTTTGTTCTCACCAACTGAAGCTTCTTGGAACACTGAGAAACAACAGCCAAGGCAACAAACTGCCCAATGGGCCTCCTCACTCACAAACTTGGCAGCCAGAAGAGGTTGTGCAGTCCTGCAGGCGAGAATGTGGAGGGCATGCAGAAGAGGGAAGAGAAGACCCCAGAGCAACGGCTTGGACTGGAACCCACTTGATACATGGCCCTGCTCCAATGCTCACCCCCAGAGTCTTCTGTGGCCCTGGGAAAAACCAATCAATCAAGTGCTCTTGTAACTTGATTTATATGGTTGGAGGGAGGGCAGTAGTTAAAATAATACTTTTTTGCAATGATTTCTTTCTTCGTAATTTTATTCCATAACCCATGAGGAAGAGAAAATGTTCATCTACAGTTGGGCTCACTCTCCTGGCAACATTCAGGACTGCTATAGGTAACTGCGGGGTGTAGGCTTGGGTAGGTTGGAAACAGGCAGGGACTAGAAGAATCAGGTGCCCCAGCAAGTGTTGTGCAGAGCATGCTGGGGAAACACACATGTACGTCTGGACCGGGACTTCGGTTGGCAATGAAGTGGGGAGAAGGGAGTTGACCGAAGACCCACCTTCAAAGTTATATGTGAGCCTTCTCAACATTTGCAAAAAAGAAACTAGAAAGGGTGTCTCTCCTTCAAGATGAGTGGATCAAGAAGATGTGGTACATATACACAATGGAATATTACTCAGCAATCAAAAAAGATAAACACATGTAGTTTGCAGCAACATGGATGGAGCTAGAAGGGATCATGCTCAGCGAAATAAGTCAGAAAGAAAAAGAAAATACCGGATGGTCTCACTCATAGCAGGAATTTAGAAAACCTAAATAAGGGACCAGGAAAAAGACTAAGTAATACAAAGTAAAGATCAAAATCAACAAACAACTATAAACCAGAGACACACTTTTGTGGGGGGAAAGTTGGGGAGAGGAAGGACTAGGGTCAAAATAAGGGGGCGGTACAATTGTGTGGGGAATATAACCATAATGAAAATGCATTCATTGTGCAAAGATGAAAAATGATGTAAGACTTATATAAAATAAAATATTAAAACAACAACAACAAAAAGAAAAGTCCAGCCCCGTTACAGCAGGCCCCGCATTAGGGGTCCTCAAGAAAGACATCATTACCCTGTGAAGACCAGGAAAGATTCCTGCAGACTTGGCAGCAGAGTTTGGAGAGGAAACACATCAGGTCTCTATTGTAGCATGAAAGTGGAAGAAGTATCATCAAGGACCAGGGTGTACTCTTTGAACTGGGAGAACAAGCCTGCCCCTGTGGGGTATGGCAACTCCAAGTTTGTGTTCACAGAGTCAACAAATATCTTGTGAACACTTTCTAGTTGTTGGGCATTGTTCAGGGAGGTAAAGACTAAAAGGTAAGTGAGAGACTGGTCCTGGCCTCAAAGAACTTATGCATCAGAAATCCGGACACATCTCTGTGAACAGCTTACTGAACCTTCCTGAGCCTCCAACCAATATTTGGGTACAAGGCATTCTTTCAGTAGCCTCTGTAAGCCCTTTTATTTTCAGTGTTGTCTTTGATGTGGGAAGGTGGAGGCAGATGTGCCCTAACGGGGAGCTCCACTGAGATGCTCAGTGATTCCTGATTTTCAATGTATAGTGAAATCTACACATCAGTGATCAGGCCCAAGCCTAAACCTGAGTTCACGCAGAGCTCCATGAATGTGTCAATCTAGGAATCCCAGCCTTTTCTCTAAAGCTCTTACAATCCAACGGAAACCAGAGATATATAAAAATAGGGTTTTGACAATACTTTTCTCTAAAGAGTAAGGTCCTGAAAAGCATCTTTCAGGATCCATTGAAAAAGGAAGTATTTTTGTTTACTTTGGGAAAATGCAGAAAAATAGAGAGCACTGAAGACATTCTTTAAGAGCTAGAAAGACTAGAGTTTAAGGGCTGTGCTACTGTGAACTCCTGGGTGCCCAGGTGAGGTTCAAAGACAAGGCAAGGTGGGGCTTCCCTGGTGGCACAGGGGTTAAGTGTCAGCACTATGAAGCAATCTGCAGCTACTGCAGCATAAGTTTGATCCCTGGCCAGAGAGGTGACCCATATGGTGCAGCAGACCTCTCCTGACTCGCCCGCTGCTCTCCTCAACAGTGTATTTCAGTCAACCCACCTGTTCTGCCCCCAACTTTGTCTCTGGTGAATCCCCTCACAGTCCCCCTGGCCTGTACTCCAGTTCTTGTATGCATAAATAAATAAACCTTTCAAAAAAGAGATTTAAAAAAAAGACAAGGTAAAGAGTCATGAATGTGAAATATGTCTTTTTTAAAGGTATTTATTTATGCATACAAGAGCTGGGGTAGAGGCCAGAGGTGTGGGGGCTGAGAGGATTCACCAGAGACAGGGTGGGGAACAGAACAGGCAGATTGACCAAAGCACACTGCTGAGGGGAGAAATGGTCGAGCCAGGAGAGGTCTGCTCGCCATGTATGTAGCTCCCTGGCCAGGGATCAAACTCATGCTGCAGTGGCTGCAGATAGCTTTATAGGTTGCATCCTAACCCCTTGTGCCACCAGGGAGGTCCCAAAATATGCCTTAAAGAAACTGCAGGCCCTCTGTGAATATGGGGGCTCCTGGAGCAGCGTGCTAGTACTTACAAGGATTTGGTGAGGGGTCAATAACATGTTCATGCAGGTGGAGGTGGCATTGCCATGTGAGAACAGTGAGTTATCGCTCCCCAAAAGACAAAGAGCCAAGCAGGGGCAAGAAACACCTACACATCTTGCAATAGGTGTGCAGAATAAAGGCAGGTGAGTTTACAAAGTGAGTGCACTTTCTTTTTGAACTCCTGGGACTTGATAAGTTCATGATAGAAAACTAACAATAATAGATGGAAACTACTTCCCAAAATCAATGGCAGTGCCAAGAGGTAGCTTGGGAGGCCTTTTCTCTCTCTCCTGATACGGACAACTGACATAGTCTCCATCTGATTTTAAGTGCTAGGTACACATTTTATTGGCAAAGCCCCCCTGCCCCTTTCCAACTAGATGGTCATACCTAAGTGTCTGTTTATCAAAATGCATGAGTCACTTCTAAAGTGGTGGTTAATACTTCTTTATTCCTTTTCCATACAGATGATCAAAGCTGGACATACATATTCTAAAGAGGTTCATTGCAAGCAGCACCCTATGAGTCATGATGGCAGAAACTAGGATTTTTCAGCATTGTACAGAACATAGAGATGAGTCTGATGAGAGATGCATTGAAGTCATCAAGGCTGCCAAAGAGCCCCAATCAGGTCTCCATCCAGGAACTTATTGGGGATGAGTGTAAGAATGGTCATGATGGGAACATGATCTACCTGCACATTATAGGACCAAAGGTCCTATTCCAGCTCTCTGCCTTTGGAAACTTTGCTAACAGATGCACACCTTTTCCTTCAAGGCACCCACAGACCTGTTCCAATTTATTTAAAATAAGAGGGAGAGGGATCAGGACAGGGGTGGGAAGAGCATAAGGGATGATGGTGATGGTGCATAGGTGAATTGATGGGGGAAATTTCATGGGGAAATCATACATTGTACAAAAATGAAGGATGATGTAATCAATATATTAAAAAAATAAAAAAGCACCCTTTTGGAAATATTCCTGGGGCATAATGATGGGTTGACTGCTAAGGGTCTCCAGATTCAGTTCACATTTGGCAACCACCCAATGACATCTCTGATCTCCAAATAATCAGTCACATGGACAACGGTACGCCAGTGAGTCTCAAGGTGATTAGTCACAGCTTGGCATGTCTCATCAGTTTGAATCTGGGAGAGCTAATCTGGACCAGGGATCTGGAAAAGACTGTTCATCTAAATCACTCTGATCCACAGGTAGATTCTGATTGTCCTGCTGCTCTCCTCTTATCCATCTTCTGTTTCCATAGCAGCTAAAATCCCTGTAAAACAGAAGCATCTGGACCAAGCTCTGGTAAAGCCCCCTGGGGAAATGTGCCTGTGTGATGTCCATGAAAGGGGGAGGTGGGGCTAAAAAGAACCGATATGAACTTCAGCAAGATGAGCAGAAGAGGGGTGGCTCCAATGGTGGAGGGGAGACAAAAGGACTCAGAAGGAGAGGGAGAAAACGTGGGAAAAATGAAATTAAAGTCAAAACATTTAGGAGGCTGTGAGCAGAAGGGAGAGGAAAGAGCTAAAAGAGAAAACATAAAAGGCAGTGCATAAAGAGATACATGGAAGAGAAGGATGGGGGGAAGCACCTGCAAAGGACAATAAGCTGAAGATTAGGACAGGAAGTGAGCACAGACCCTGACTAGAAGCCACAGTAGACCTGTAAGAGGGACAGGCAAGGTGCCTATTGACATGAGGCAAAGTGACTCTAACCAAGATGAATGTTCTGTGGATTTTAAAGGCACAGACCACCCTAGTGTCCATAGCATTGGGGACACAGCATTCAGCAATGGTGATGAATGTCGGGCACTGCAGACTTAGAAAGTCTGTCCATTTGGACTCTCCCTCCTTTGGATGTGCCCCGGGCCACGTTCCATCACTAATGAGCTCATGCACAGTTGAAGCCTCCTCCTAGATTTTGAGCCAGTCTCTGTGTAAGGTCATATCAAATTGAGAGATGGGCAGATGAGAATAGCTCTCTCTGATCCTTTGCTCACAGTAGTAGCTTCAGGAATGGTACACGGGACAGCTCCTAGGAACTCAGGCCAGACACATTAAAATTTCACGCCCACTCTGATAACCTCTATCAGGGCAAATTGTCAGATTTAGAGAGAGAATTTGGTAGTCAGAGCCATTTGTAGTCCCACATAGATTATTTTCCAAATGTCCAAATAGTGTACAGTGTGATGTGTCATCACATTTAGAGATGGAGGACAGTGTCCCTGTGTTGGACAGCTCACAGCTGCAGCCCTGCGTGGGCATGGTCTCATATGGGGATGGCTGCCTAGTCCAAGGTCACAGCCTTTCGGGGAAAGTTCAAATTCAGTGAGTGACTATCATGCTGGTACAAATGTCCACCCTGTAGCATCAGTAGAGGACATATGGGGTGGTCATTTTAGCTTCAGAATTCCCCAGAGGCTCAGCTGAGATGTTCCACTGGATTGCAGAGTAACTCAACTTCGGCTGCCCAATCCTGTTGCCTTCCCTTCTCTTCCAGATAGTTTGATCCTAAAAGAACATCGGATAAACTTCCTGTATGTTGACCACCCTCCTAGGGTTCCAAGTTGCAAGCAAATGACTACCAATATGGTCATTTAGAATCCTTAAACTTGCACTCCTCAGTAATACGCATACTTCATAACATGCATGCTTATAATACTTACATAAATATATTTCTCATCAATCAGAAATAAGCAATGAGAGAAAGGATCTTTATTCATACCTCTGCTCAGCTGTTATCTTTTCAAAGTCCTTCCTTGACCAAACCTCTTGTTCTTCTGCCAATGAATCAATGAATACTGCTCCATTCTCATCCTTATCAGCACCTGTTACATTGTATATTGCCTTTTTTTGTCATTTATCTTCAGAGAATGAGAGCAGAAGCTTCTCTGTGTTAGTTTATTACTATATCCCCAGTACTTAGACAAGTGCCTACACTATTGCAAAGCACTCAATAGATATTTAAGAAGTTAAATAATGTATTTGCCTAAAAGCTAGCATAATGATTAATGGTATCTTGCCTTAAATTCTAAAGGTTTAATGTTCCATCCATGAAAATCCATGTTCAGAATAACACTTGGTCTTGTCTACAAAACATCTAGACATTTACACATAGTCAATTTGCAATTTAATCACACACTGAGTTATGTTTGTTATCTAGGATTCATCAGAGCAAAACAGCAGCAAAACCACAAAACAACCAATGGATTCACAACCAGATATTTGGCAAAAATGGGGAAACACAGACTTGGAAATTTTCCTTTTAGGAATATGGCCGCTCAAAGCTCTCATCCATCATTCTGTGTTTGTGTTTTCCAGCTCTTAAAACAACCAGATGAGCAATGCCACCAAAACCGATTATTCTGTCATCAGACATGACAAGTCATGTTCGCTCAGAACATCCTGCCAGCATTTCACCCAGGCACAACTCGGATTAATTTCTCAGGGCTGGAGAGAACCTCAAGTTTTCTGAAATAGTAGAGAATATCATCATACTCTGCAAACTCATGAGCATTCTCTTACCAGGGTATGAATGTAGGACCCCATAGACGAAGACATGGCCAACAAATGAAACTCCTCTGGAAATAACACACCAAGCTGCTGTTCTTACCTTTGGGGGAAATGTGTCTCCAGGTAACTGTGGGCTCTGGTCTACCCGTTGCTATGCAGGTGAGGCTGATATTGTTCCCTTCATTAATGGAGATATCTGAAGAAATCTCTACAATTTTGGGAGACACTGTGAAGACAAAACAAGCAGAAGGAAAAATGAAATAAAAATCCTGCTGAAACATTTCTTTGTTGTCTTAAAATGGTAGTTGGCAGAATAGCCCAGCCACTGAAATATGTAGACTGATTAAATGATGAGAAATTAGAAGAATTACCTTCAACGTGAAAGCAATAGCTTACCTTGAACTTAGCTTCAATTTCCTCCTACAGAAAAGTCAGGGTGTCTCAAGGGACTGGATTCCACTGCAATACTGTAAAACTATTCTCCTAGCCTCCATCCTCTTCCTATCTCCACTCTCACCCCCACCCACCTCTGACACACATCCACAAGTCATCCCCCACACTGCATTCAGAGTCATCTTTATATAACGCAGTTCTGATCTGGTTACATTTCTTTTTTTTTTTTTATTTATTTTATTTTTTTAAGTATTTTTTTTTTTTAATAGAGGCATGTTTTTTATTTATTTATTTATTTGTTTGTTTCTTTGTTTATACATGCACTGGGTACAGTCAGAAACGCGGGAGGGTGAGAGAATTCACCAGAGCCAGAGCAGGGAGCAGAGCAGGCAGAAGGACCGAGGTACACTGCTGAGGGGAGCAGCGGGCGGCAGGAGAGGTCTGCACGCCATGTGGGACCCTCTTCCGGTGGCCGGGAGCAGCCGGGGATCGAACTGGCGCCGCAGAGGCCACGGGCAGCTTCGCAACCCAGTGCTCAACCGCTGCGCCACCGGGGAGGCCCCTGATCTGGTTACATTTCTGCTAAACACTTCCTATTGCTCCCTATTGCCTCCCTGATAACATCCAAGCTCCTCAGCCCAGAACACCAGGCTGTACAGAACCAAGCACCAACCTGTTTTCATTAAGATTCCAGTGATGCAACCTCTACTTACCTCCTTATCATCCTTGACATATTATGTCCTTTCTGTAAAGCACTCTCATTTGCCCTAGAAGGTCCAAGTCAAATTCTCCTTGAGCAGCCTTCCCTGCCCTTAGTCCTTGCTGCTCTCCTGCCCAACTCAGCTTATCCTGTTCTTATCTTTGTTCCCAGAGTACAACACACACCTGCTGGGGAGTTAAGTGAACATCAGTTAGCCATGACACATTTGGTCTCCTTATTTCTCTGTCCCCTAAATCACTCCTCCCAAAGGAGGGATGATTTCAATCCCATTGGTAAGTTTGGGTGCACTGCCTTCAGTCCTTCATTTGGGAATCAGATTTCCCGAAGAAGTATATAGTCTGTTGTGTTCCTCCCAAGCATGTTTCACAGGGCAGCATTCTACAGAGATGGGGGCACCTTGTAGCACAGCCAACAGGTGCCTGCATGCACCTGTCTCATTTTAGGGTTCAGAATAAGAGGCTCATTGTCTGCACACCTCTAAGCCTAAATGTTCACTATCACCTTTACCACTACTGAATGTGGTATTTGGTTCTCAAATGATTATTCACTTGTTTCATCTTCTAACTGGCTTGTAAAGTAAGAGTGTCCTTTATTGTGCACCCAAACTCCAATTCTTGGCACTTATCACTCTATGTTATGATTATTTGCTTAGCATCTCTCATCTGTTAGCCCATGAGCCTTCTGATGGCTTGAGTCATGATTTATTCATGTTCATAATGAAACCTCACAATATTTATAGGACGGACTTTAATGGTTATTCAGAAAAGAAATCACCTTCCCAAACTGCTAAATGTTTGTAACAACTTCAGAGTTGTATCATTAATACATATCATTTCAGCCCAACTGACTCCAGTTTCAGCACATTAGTTTATCCCAAATTAAGTGACTCCTCCGGTCAGCTCTCTTAGGATGTTTTGTTCTGGCTTCTTTCCTTGAATGAGCAATCCTCAGAATCACCACAGTGTGGTCCCCCGCTGATGGTGCAAGGGGTTAAATCTCAGCACTGTGAAGCTACCCGCAGCCAATGCAGCACAAGTTTCATTCCAGGCCAAGGAGCTAACCCACATGGTGCCGCAGACCTCTCCTGTCTTTCCTGCTGCTCCCTTCAGCAGTGTATTTCAGTCAATCCACCTATTCTGCTCCCCACTCTGTCACTGGTGAATCCTCTCACCACCTGCCTGCACCTCTGGCTTACACCCCAGCTCTGGTATGCAAAAAACAAATAAATCTTTAAGAAAAAATAATCACCACAACATGCAATTCCAGACCACACAATTCACCCAGTAAACAATGCCATCTGGACAGCTCAAATTCCAGACAACTTGTACATTGACATCATTCCCTGTGTCCCAAGGCCAGAATGAAACCCCACACACAGCAATCATATTGGTTGGAAATCTCAGTGTTGGTCTTTCTTTTACTCAGTGTATTAATCATTCACTGCTGACTATGCTGGATTTTCTCCTTCATGAGGAGTATCTTAGAGATATCTTTGCTTCATCTTAATTTTTGCTCCTACTTCTCTCATATTGTCTTCCATACCTTTTCTACAACAACTCCCCCCAACTAGGAACATGCATTGGTAAGCATGCATTGCACTTTTGTTTCCTTGCCTCCATGCCCTTCCTGCTGATGGTGGTTATTGAGACTCCTCTCTTCAATGATCTATAACTATTGGAATTGTTCAAGGTCTGGCTGAGTTACTACCCATCCTATCAGGCCTTCCAGATGATCTATAATTGGCTGTGACCTCTCCTTTTGGAGGATCCCAGAGCCTCCTTCAAGAGAAATAAAATAAATTCTCTCATGTTGCATTTGTTCTTAATTAAATAGCTATTTATTAAGTAGTTGCTTTTAAAATAAATTCTTTTATGCTACATTTGTCTCATATTTCTTCTATGTAATAAATTATCTGAGTATAAGATAGTGAGCAAAAGTCTTACTCATCTTTTTTTATTTTCTGCTGTCTTGAGTAGAATGTCTTGCATAAAGTAAGCACCAATTAATCATTTTTAGAATTAAATTCACATTGAGCTTCAGATAAAGAGGCAATGTGTGTGTGTGTGCATATGAATATGTATATACATTTGCACAAATATTTACCCGACCTCTTACAGGTATTTGGTAGAACAGAAATAAGGAGGGCCAACATGGTGAGGATTGGGGAATGACCATTGTCTCTTTGATACCAGATTTCTAAGACATAACATTGCAAATTTATGATTATATCCTTTTCAAAGATAGACCAAATCATATCAGAAAGAAAATTGGTCAGTTAGTGATCAAACACTAGATATGTTGACTGTCTAAAAGGTCCGATTAATATCTACCTTCTCTTCCTTCTTGAATCATTTAATCTTGACTTATTTTATTCATAAAGTTTTAACTGGAACATTCACATCTTGTCCTCCAAGCCACTCCTTTGCCTGGCCCCTGCCCCTACCCATTCTTGGCACCCACATAGCTTTGCTTGCTTCCTGGAGGACAGGCTGCCTGCACAATGACTGTGCTGGCCTTGCAGACACTGCTTCAACTGTGCAGGTAAGTAATTTATTGATCTGTAAAGCACTCCAAGATGCTCTGCAAGGGATTATGTCACACCAACGCCATGCAGTAAAATAAAAAATGATGGACTTTGTGAACACAGGGTGATTTAGGGTTTGTAGTTGGAAGTGTACTTAAAGTATATTTTAAGTGGAAATCAGGCTGGGTAATGAATTACTCTTGCTTTGGAAGGGCTTACTAGGAGTTCATTTTCCTGGCTTCTTACATGATAGCTAATCTGCTAATCATACACTAGAGAACAATGGACAGTCCCCAAGTAGAATAGAAGGTGATTTGGGCCAGAACTGTCAGAACAGTACGTATATTAAATGAGACAATCACACCTCATGCTTGGAAGTATCATCTAGAATTGTCTCCCTACCAGTTGGAAAGTGTCCAAGTCATGCAGTGGAAGTTGGAGAAATGCTTGCTGTCCTTTCAACTCTGCCTAAAAGTGCAGCTGGAAGATAGCAAAATGTCCCTGAAAGAATTTGAAAGGCAGACCATTTATCACATAGAGCTGACATGGTTTGACCAAAAGGTGCAGCCCCAATTACTAGAACTAAATTGGCATCATGCCTGAGATGCTAGGGGACTAGAATTATCATTTTCTAGGAGGCAACTTCTAGCACATTGTCTGTAGTTAAAATTAAATTGAATGGATAAGTGTGTGCTGTTGTCTTAGCTAAACCATGTTCACCAGGAAGCTTTGGCCACCTGAGATAGAGCTACTTATATTTTTATATGTTTCCATGGATACTTTCTCTCTTTTAACTCTTCTCATCATTTAGATTGTTAGAAATATACTATGATTGTTTAGTTTGTTTTATTTTTTTGTTCGTCAACATTCATTTATCATTTCCACATACTAGCTTTGCGCTTAGCACTGAGAAGAAAACACTAAAAACAAAAAAGGGACACAATTCTTGTCCTCAAGGAGTGTACAATTTAGAGATGTAAAAACAGATCTGGAAGTGTTAATGCATCGTAAAAAGGAGAAATAAATACAGTGTTAAGGGAATACAAAGGATAGATGCTTTAGCCAGCCTGGAGCTGGATATCATGGAAGGTTTCTGCACTATCTGACACCTAAACTAAGTCCTAAATGATAAGTAAAAGCTAATAGTTCTGGAGAGGAGAAGAGGACAGACTTGCTAGAAAAGGAAAATACAAAATATAAAAGTACTATTAAGAAAGTACTATTAAGACTTTTTGTGGCCAAGAGTAATCATTAATAGAAGGGTAGCTTTGGGCCTTCCCGGTGGCGCAGTGGTTGAGCGCTGGGTTGCGAAGCTGCCCGCAGCCTCTGCAGCGCCGGTTCGATCCCCAGCTGCTCCCCAGCCACCGGAGGAGGGTCCCGCATGGTGCGCAGACCTCTCCTGCTGCCTACTGCTCCCCTCAGCAGTGTACTTCGGTCCTTCTGCCTGCTCTGCTCCCCGCTTTGGCTCTGGTGAATTCTCTCACCCTCCTGTGCTTCTGACTGTACCCAGTGCTTGTATAAATAAACAAACAAATAAACAAACAAACAAATAAATAAATAAATAAATCTTAAAAAAATAGAAGGGTAGCTTCTAATGGAGGTGGGCTAAAAGTCATTCAACAAACATTT